TAGCCGACATATAAAACAATTTTTTTTTAATACAGCAGAACATTAGCTCCTCTGTTAGTAGTGAAAGATAAAATGAGGGATTCCAATACAATACAAGAACTCACTTTAAATCCATTAGAGTCGCGTTCCACTCTTTAAATGTTTCACCGTGCGACAAAATGGAAATGAAAATGATTTTACTAGTTGCCGATTCGTTTCCAAAATCGAGAAATAGGCGATTAGCAAAGCGAACTCAAGACCCGGCGTGGGCAAGCAAAGGCACCTCACATACATACATACAGTCTAATACATAGGTATAGAGTTTGATATATGACATATGCTCCAAAAGTTAACGCCTCTCCTTTAATTTGTATATATGTACATATATGTGTAGTATATATTCATTCATATATTCGTGGTAGCCCAAAATGAAATCGAAATCGAAAATGTTTGTCGAGTGGGTGTCAGACAACGACAATAAAAACAACAACAACAACAACAACATCTACTGCAACAACAGCCAGATGCAAAACAAATGCATTCATTCATGCATTTACTTCTCTTTTTTCGGCTCAGAGCGTTGCGTTTGTAGCTCTCAAGAGTTGCGTGGCTCTTGGCAACGTACCCAGCTGCCCCACAGCTGTTTGCCAACAACAACAGCAACAACAACAAGAGCAACAGCAACAAAGATGCGTTGGCGTATGCAAACAGCAAACCGAATAAACAGGCTCGACTTACTACCAGCCTATCGACTGTTAAGACTCAGTATACCCTGCACGTGTGAGGCATTTCAATGCTGGCGAAGCAACACGTAAGATGAAGAATGGTACTCTAACTAAATAATATAATCATATACTATATACAATATAATATATAGTAGTATAGAAATAGACTTTAAACCACATATTATATATAGCTAATCAGCATTCATAATGGCTTCTCTGCTCCCTCTTCATTGAAACCAGTTTTCCAAGTTACATAGATGCATTTAGCCTATACCTACATATATACGATGTACTTAATAAACAGAAGTCTAACAATGTAGTTTAAGGCAATGAAAGGCAATAATTTAAGTCTTAATATGAAAACATTGCAAGGGTATATATAGCATCGTGCATGCTCACCAAACTGAGAGCTAGGTAGGTGGGTAGTTAGGTAGACAACGAACGTTGTCTTCCATTTGCCCAAAAGCATAATTAAAAATAAAACTTACATCGCTCAAGGCAAACTTAACTGAGTAAACAACAACAACAACAACTGTTGCTGTTGCAATTGTTTGGGCCGGTCATAAGCAGAACGCAGAACTTTAAATAGCTCAAAAAACACAGAGCGAAAGAGTAAATAGAAATTCCCATTTTTCGATATATAAATATAATTATATATAATATGTACATATATGTACATACATGTACATAAACATTTATATGGATACATACATATTTATGCAGACAGAAATTTGTTTGTTGATTCAGCCGCAGGCGCAGGCCGTAAACAAATGTGAAAAGACAGCAAAAACAAAGAAAACCGATTAAAAGATGGCCAAAACGCTAGCTGAAAAGTTAGCCAACATTTTAGTAGCCGCAAGCTAAATAGATGGAGAAATTAGCCAAGTAGACAGCCGAAAACTAGCTAAAAGCTAGCTAAGTAGACAACAAAAAGCTAGACAAAAATCTAGCCAAATTGGGCAACCCAAAAATATTGTACAGATGGGCCCTACAAAGTAGGGTACTGATTACATCTGACTGCATAATACTCGCGCACGAGTCAAACATCAAAACTAATATACTCACTTTTGACTGCATGAGCGCGCATACGCGGACTGAAAGTCAGCCAAAAGGAACCGAAACCAAGTTAATTCGTTGCCGACAGCTGTTGGCATTTCAATTGCCCGCCCTCCTTCCATCTCTCTCTTTCTCTCTCAGTACCTCTCTTTGTCTTCTGCTCTTGAGCAGTTGCACAGGTGCAGCAGCAGTTGAATGGTTTTTTTCTGGGATTGGGTTGCACGTTTGCTAGCTGCAACGCAGAGACATCAGATAAGCGCACAAAGCAAAATGTGCCAAGTGCAGATACAAACACACACACACACAGAGAGAGAGAGAGAGAGAGAGACATGTGTTTGTATATGTAAGCTAATAGCCTAGCCAAAAAATATCTTTAAACAAATTCCAAACATATCAGATGTTATATAGATATATATGTACTAAGTCTAACGGAACTTGAGACTCGCGTCTTGACGCTCTGGGAAAGCTATGGATAGGAGAGCCTAGGTTTATTATAATCTAGAATTACTCTGAGTAAACAATCATAAAGGCTGCTTGCATTAACAATTTTGGCTTTAACATTTATTATAAACATACTATATAAAGAGAGAAATAGGAGAGTGAGTCGTATGGAAAAAGAGCAAAAATCAACACGTATATTAAAGAAAGATATATGTAGATACTGCAGGACTGCGACTAGAATTGTTCCACAGGCGAGTTTCCACTGTATATATGCCTATTCTCTTATCAGCTGCAGCCCCGTATCAAAGTCGTTTCAAAGGTATGCAAAGGCACAGACAAATGCACATGCGAGCAGACAGACACATTTCAAATGAATTTGAGATAAGACAACAACAACAACGAAAACAAAATAGAAATTCTAATAAAACAACATTTACAGTTAGACAGTTACATACAAGGCAGAACACCGTTTGCTGCTCTGATTACGAAATGGAGACACAGCAAACCCATAAAGCAGTATAAGACGGGCAGAAAAACAACAGCAAACCAACCCCGTTTCATATGTTATTTCCCTGTAGGATATGTTAACCCCCAAAAAAGGTATAAAAAAGTCTATTTCTTATACGGATTTAATAGCATAAACAAAGTCAATGAACCCCTCTAGCCTCCGCCGGATGCTGTTGAAATACGCCAACGCTTTATCATTATGCCCCAAACATAAGAAAAACAAAATAAAAGAGACAAAGCCAAGAACAACAACAACAACAGTTAATAAGTAGCCCACGCATAGTGCAAAATGTTTGTGCTAAAAATGTGCACAGTAAAACACACACACATTCACAGCAAAGCAGAATGGCTAGAGGTGAAAGAGTAACAGAGAGATAGGGCATCATTAGAGATGAGTGAGGGGGCCAATCGCAAATTGGAAAATACATAATAAATGGGAAAGGGTGAAAGTGTGCAAGGCAGCAAATGAACAAAATATTTTATTCACATATGCATTTAAATTGTCATTTTATTATTTAATGCACTTAATTGCGCTTTATACATATATGTATATGCATTTTGCTTGCATGCACGATTAATTCGTGTCACGGCACGTGCGCACATCTAATGGCGAGTGCTTGCACTTGCGCAAATAGCGCGACAAACTTCAAAAAGGGAGCACAAAATTGCTGTTGTTCTTGTTTTTGTTGTTGTTGTTGTTACTGTTAATGTAGCTCTGGTTCCTGTTGTTTTGTTGTTGTTGCTGCTGGCTGGCTGGCAATGAAAGGAGTTTTCATGGCTTACGGTTGGACTGGAATCGACACTGGAGGGCCTTGGAATATGAAGTGCGTGAGACTGTTTGTGTAGCTGGAAGCTGTGTTTGTCTGTCTGCCTTTCAGCTTTTGAGTAATTAGCACACTTGAGTGGAACGCAGAGAGGGAACGATAGAATAACAACAAAGGCAAGTGCAAGAAGCAGCACATTTCAAGGATACTCACGGTTCTTCAATATATTCGCAGTCAGCTTCCAGCTGCAGTTGCAACGCAGCGGCGCTTCAAAAGAATCCTGCAAACAATTACACAGCGTTTCCTCCCCTTGCAGCCGGCACCCGGTTTTGGTTTGTGTATATATATATATGTGTGTATATATATATTTGTGTGTATTAGTTATTTTTGTTGCTGCAGTTGATTTTGTTTAGTTGGGCTGCAGCGCATTCCAGGCGGCAAAAGCGCACAAAAGAGTATAGAAGAGGACAGCACGCGTCTCGCTCTCTCCACCCGTCTTCGCCAACACGACTTTGGGCTTTGTTCAAACAAACTACCCTGACGGCGATCCTTGCACAGTTGTTATTGCTCTTGCTGTTATAATTCTTGTTGTACACACACGCACACAAGCAAAAACACAATCACAGAAACGCACTCACACACATGCATATAAAATAATTTACTTTTTAAATTTAAATATGTACACACTTTGCGGCTCTATTTTTTATCTTGTTTTCTATTTCTATTTTCGCACTGTTCTCAAAGCAAGCAACAGTAAAGCGCCGTTGCCGCCGCCGCCTTCGTCGTCTAACAGTTAATTTTTTTTTTCGCCAGGCGACGTCGACTCAATTTCAAAGCTTCTCCTGTCAATTACGATTTGCATTTTGCTTCTTTAATTCAAGACATAATAAAAATAACACAGCCGCCGAATTGTAGGAAATTTATTTCAAAACCAATGGCAATATGTTTTATATGCACACACACACACTATTACACGGCTCTTTTATTTAGGCGCGCGTTTTATTCGGTACATTATTATGTTATCATAGAGAATTTAATTATTTAACAAATTTAACACTTTAAATCGCGCGCACCGTCTGCCGCACGTCTGACTCGCTCGGCGTTGTTTTTGCTTCTGCTCTTCGATAGCAACTGCACAGTGTTGAGGAGCGCATCAAACGATGAATTCATGTACGATATATCGATTGACGTATCATATTGCTCATATTTGCGCTGCTACATTTGCGTGTGCACCCATAGGAATAGGAAATTCAAAATATTTGAGAATTAAATCATATACGGAACTATACTGAATTTACAAATAATCTAATATATGTGCAAAATTAATTATACTTGGATACATTTTTTAACAACATTTAAGGTATTTATTTGTTCTTCATTTGTTTCATTTGTCAGTTTAAAATCTAGATTTTAAGGTAATACGTCAGCATTATCACACAAGCCTAGCTTATAATAATAAAAATAGATGAAGTAGTATATGATACAAAATACGTAAAAATACAAAAACAATACCAAAAAGCAACAATTTTTCTATAAATAATAGGAAAGGAAACTAATTTTGTTTCCCTTCTTTAGTCCTCCAGCCTCTGCACACTTAATTTGATATCCTTTCTGGGCATCAGCAGTAACTTGCCGGGATCATAGAGCATGGGTATTTGAGTCTCTGCGCTGGGCTCGTACTTGAGGTGCTCCAACAGGGCAACTAAACCGATTAGCAGCTGCTGCTCTGCCAATTGCTTGGCTATGCAGCCACGCAGACCCTGACCGAAGGGTAGAAAGGACATCGCTGGCCTTTTAAGCACTGCCTCCGGCCTAAAGCGCTCCGGATCGAAGCGTTCGGGCTCTACATATATATTCGGATCCCGATGTATGGCTGCAACAGGAATTACCACATTGTTGCCACGAGCGATGACAAAGACCGATTCCGTCAGCTCGAATTCACGCGTGGCACGGCGCAGCAGAAAGGGATAGGGCGTATGCAGTCGAAGCGTTTCTGTAAGGATCACAATGATAGAACAAAGATAAGATACAGATATATTATAGCTGAGATTTACTAACCATATAGCACTTGCTTCGTATAGCTGAGTTGCTTAAGTCCGTCAGCCGTCAGCTGTCCGTCGTTTGCCTTCAGAACTCGTTTTATCTCCGCTCTCGTACGCTCTTGGAGCTCCGGCTGCAGCGCTAGCTCATAGAGACAGAAGCCAAGAGTCGCATTCAGTGGCTGCAGACCAGCCAAAATAAATCCGAAAGCCTGAGCCGCGATCTGAGCATCCGTCAGCGCTTTGTCAGTGGCGGCAAAGAGTTGCAAAAAGCTTTGCAGGGGCTGCCGATCTCTCTTGCGCTGTTGCTGCAATTGCTCCTGAACTAGATTGAAGAAGTAGTCATTGGCTAGCCGTGCGTAGCTCTGGTACTTCACAAGGCGCGCGAGTATAGGCAGCTCCATGGCCAAATAAGCGCGCCACAAGCTCCAGTTGCTCCAGTAGCTGCGCGTCATTAAGGAAAACTCTGATAGATCCTCGGACGATAGGCCATAAGCTAGCTTCGCTATCGACTCAACATTGTAGCTGTTCAGCAGTTGGCTAACATTCAACTCCTGCTTTCGCACCCCCAATCCCGACTGCAACTTCTTCGAAGTCTTCAGCAATTGTGGCAGCAGCTTGTGCAGATTGCTAGCAGCAAAAACTGGCGCGGATTGAGCATGCAGCTGTCTCCACCGGTGCCCATCCAACTGGAATAGATTTCCGGACAGCGGCTCCATTTTCACATTGTTGTAGAGTCCTCTACTGGTGAAGTAGCCGTCATCGCTGTCCAAAATGTTCCTTACCAGTTCCAAGTCCAAGATCAATACCAAAGGCTTCAATAGCACATAACATCCGATGAAGGGAGCGCGTCCTTTGTAGCTCTCGTACAGATAGAGCAGGAGCTGCTGGACATTCTTCTTGCCACGCACCACCTCCGAAATGTTGCCCCACAGAAACTTTGGCTTGACATGGAGTATGCCACGTCGCTTCCAATAGCCCAAGCAGAATTTTACAAGAGCATAAAAGAGGGCCAGAGCGCCCAGAGAGCTCCAGAGAATGTGCTGCATTAGCTCTTGCATTGGATTTTGTTGCAGGTGGAGCTAGTTTCAGTTGCTTCTGGGTAGATAAGCAGTAAACTTTTTAAATTCAATCTGGCTGAGCTGCTGCCGTCCTGGTGAATCCGTTCCTAGGGGTATGAGCTCCCCTCCAGTTGGATCTAGGCTAAGCAGCTACCTTCTTCCAATTGCAGTTCCTATATACTGGTTATGTCGATTGCTTTTACGTTTGATAAGCGTTTCAGTCTCGCTACTGGCTTATCAGCGCCATGGTTCTACTGTAGAAATATTGATTTGCTTATCAAATGACTCGATTTCTGGCCATAACGAGCGCTAAAAGAGCGGGAGAGAGAAAGAGAACAAGTTAACTATAGACTCAATGAGGAACGAACTTGAGTATTGGATTATAATACATATAATACCCTGTAATGTAGTATAAGTAGACGTGTGAACAGAAAGCAAAGGAACTTTTCTAATTAATATTACATATTACGCGGTAAGCTTATAGCTGCTCTTCTATAGAGTTTAATTGTTATGCATTTGCGTACGATATACATTTATATCAAATGCCGCTTCCATTACAATTGGAGCTCCTTGTTCATTCATCATTTATATTTATTCACTGTCAACATGCCCGATCCTCTCCAATAATTTTAGCAGTGGTATAAACTAGTGCAATTTATTGTTTTTGTCAACTTCGATCGATTCGGCAACACCGTTTCCATTTTTTACTTTTCCAGTATGAAGCACAGATTGTAAGCGCTGCCTTCCAGCTCGCTGCTGTGCATCCAACGTACATAGCCGCGCTCAATCAGCTGTTGCTTGGAGCTAGGCACGCCTACGAAATGTGGATCCTTAAAAAAATCCTAATTAGCTTTAATTGAGTTCACGTTTAGAGTCACTCACCACAATGAGCAGCGAACAGCCCGCCGTTTGGCTCAGATGAATGCCCGCAATGGCCTTTGAAGCGGTGTCACTTAACCCGCCCATAACAATTAAACCGCAATAATCCACAAAATATTCACGAATCTGGTTTAGCACCTGCTCGCTGTTCAGTTGTTGCACGTGTGCAAATTTGCAGGGTATATCAAATAGGGAATCTATTACAAAAAACTCCTCCATGGTGCCTATCCAATCGCGTGAGCCAACAAATCGTGCAGGCTTGTCGCCAATCCTCACCAGCAAGCGCTGAATCTCTTCAATGGAGGGCACATTCAACATGGCCGTCCTTCCACTGCGCCTTTTTATAATCCAAGAGATGGCCGTTTGGAGCGTTCGGTAACCGCAGCCCCAGCCCGCGTCTGAATGGCCATCACAACCGTAATGGAAGTACTTGAAGCTTCCTTGCGTATATAAGGTCTCACCTTTACTATCTGCTGGCGGTTGCAGAGCCAAGTGCACATCTTCCAATAACTCGTATTTATATGTTTTCTTCACAATTTCAACTTTCGACTCTGATTCACAGGTTGCTGTGTTTGTTGTCATAGTTGTTTACACGGTCGATAATATATGTGTATGCGCCCTATATATAACTATATTTATTTATAGTTGCGATATTTACCTTTTGCTACGTTGCAACATTAATTTTAGAAATTTAGAAATCAGATGTTTACTGCCTCGATAACGATTATATTATGTTGCAATATTTTCCAAATGCACTTAATGTGTCAGACTATCGATATGCATACATTTTTATTGACATATCACTTTTGGCGCTAATTTCAAAGTACATCAGAAACTGTTTTTGCGTATCGATATCTGTTCGTCAGCTCTAATCGTTAATATATTCGCGCCAAGTTTGAATTGCAAACATAACTTTTTGTTTAGGTATCTTCAAAAATCTTAGGCGCTACGCATTTATTTAGATTTACAAATATATTTCTAGCTATATAGATGTCAAAAATTATTCGCCACTCCACATATATAATAATATAAAACGAATGGCCTCGTTGTTTAACGCTTAGCGTCTTCATTTAAAATAAATCCATTTCGCCACAATTCACATCAAGAATATCATCATCGTAGCTGATCAATTGCTTAAGGCTTGCTGCTGCTGTGGCAGCTTTTGAAGTCGATGGCAGATCAGTATTATCGACCACATTTATATTTATTTCATGAGCTCTATATTCCGGGCTGCTTTGCTCCTGGCCAACAGGCGAGGGCGGAGGATTCGATACTACAAAGAGAGAGAGAGTTTAGATGAGAATCATTAATAGTGTTTAAATAAAATAGGGTTTTACAATTGCCTGGCTGTATTTGTGCCAATTCCTTGCGACTATTTAATGAAGGCATTTCGGTACTCTTCTCGCTTAAACATTTCTTCAGCTCCTCGACTTTGCGATCCCGTATCAACGAGGCCAGTTGCTTTCGCGACTTGCTCTCATTCTGGCGATCCTCGCTGAAAATTGATTTCTGTTGCGCTGGCGTTATGAGATTATGATGCTTAAGCAGGAATAGAAAAACGCCACCAGGTGTACGACGACGTCGGCCATTCTGCAAAGATTAACTAAACTTTAACTCAGAGTTTCATAGATTTAATCTTAGTTTTAACTGACATTGATCATCATGCCACCATCAGCTTCGATGCGTTGCGTTTCCTTGTACAGCTCCAGTGGCAAATCTAAGCCAAGTGTTTGCACGACACGAACTGCAAAAAAAATTGCAAGTTAGACTTATGCCTTGAACCATGTGTGTTATTTAATCTTGAATCCTTTGATAACACACCCAAAAGTTCGTCCTTCTCCTCGTACAGTTTACTGGCCATTTCGTTAGCCACATCCTTGGGCTCGCGTCCCGTCACGTCTTGCAAGTCAAGTATGTGTCGGGGCTCACTAGAGTTGTCAGAAGAGCCACTCGTTGAGGAATTGCCACGACGAGATCTCGACCTTGACCCAAGCCTACTTTTAATCGGACGGCGCTGATCCCGTCGCTGGCTGTCGGAGCAGGCAGATCGCCCTCGCTTGAACGCCGGTTGTGAACTGTTGCCTTCGTCCGAAGAGTTGGACAGGCGCCGCTTCAGCGCATGCTCTCCATTTAGACGATATCTCAGAGAGAAATCATAGTTCTCCACATTGCGATCGCTGCTGCTTTTGTGGTTCACATCGCAACCTCGCATATTCTCAGTCAATGCCTCCTCCTGCAGTGCAGCAGTCCATATGTTATATTTCTTGAAGCGCGCACGATTCGGTTCCCCAGTCGAGGAGGAGGCGGCGTCGGCGGATGAGCAGCCTTCAGCTGGGGCAGAAGACACACGTATCATAACGGTTCTTTTTATGCGCTTCTTGCGCTTTTTTTTGGATCCGATATTTTCGGTGCGCAGCTTTTTGATGCAGCCCTCTTCAGAGGACTCGCCACTGGTGCTCTGTTCGCTATTCGTTGGAGACTCATCGTCCAAGGCGCTTTGCAGCTGATGGCAGGTGGCAAGCGAATTTGTTGAATTGCCTTCGGCAACTCCCTTTGCAGCTGTTGCAACATTTGAAGCCGGTGCCGGCCGCTGCAACGGAGTATAGATCTCCTCTTCGCCGCTTGCTGACAGCTGACATGGCATTATATGTATATTAACTAACTATTTTTTATATATTCTATGCAGTTCTTTACCTCTCCATCTTCTAAATCAACGTCTTCGTTTGATTGCAGCTCCATCATCTTGCAGGAAAAAATTAATTCTCTTAAGGCACTAGTGTTAAGAAACGATTGCACAAACAAAGAAAGGTTTCCACTGATGGATGGGTGTTATCGCTAAAATAGTGGTAGCACCATTTCACATGAAACAAGAATGCAAAACCATTGTTAGCACTTTCGAAAATAATATTTAATTTTTTATTAACTATAATATGAATTTTGTATTATTCTGTTCATATATAAATTATATAGATAGACCTTGTAATATTGTTCGCAACAGCTGATTTAACAAGTGGAAACGACGCAACAAGAAAATTTTAAACTGTGGCAACTCTATGTGGCATGCAGTAAGAAGAAGAAGACACGTGCATTCTTTTATAAAGTTTTGAACGTGCTTGTCAGACGTAAAAATACAAATTTACGTCTTATTATGGTGCGTTTGAACAATCAGCTGCCGGATAACCTTCCGCAGCTGCAGAACCTGATCAAGCGTGATCCTGAATCCTACAGCGATGAGTTCCACACGCAATACGAACATTTTTTAAGTTTACTTGAAATCTTCGCATTGAATCCGGCCGAGGAAAACAAATCGTTGGACGAAATAGTGATGTTTATTGCTCAGGTGGCACAATGCTATCCACAGGTGTGCCAGCAGTTCCCAAAACACCTGACGGATTTGTTAAAGAGCAGTGCCACTGTCTTAGATCCTGCGATGAGGAATTCCTTTGTCAAAGCGCTGATTCTGCTGCGTAATAAGAATCTGGTACCACCTTTGGATATATTGGAATTATTTTTTCAACTATTGCGCTGCCAGGATAAGAATCTGCGCACCTTCTTGCAAACCCACATCGTAACGGATATTAAAAACATGAATGCGAAGCACAAAGATATGAAACTTAATTCGGTAAAATTATACACTTGAGAATGATCTTCAGTCGTTATTAACTTCTTTTTGTTTTAGAGTTTGCAAAACTTTATGTATGGCATGTTAAAGGACGCCAATCCCAAGGCTGCCAAAATGTCGGTGGATATCATGATTGAGTTGTACAAGAAGAACAAATGGAACGATGCCAAGACAGTGAACGTGATTGCCAGCGTAGGCTGCTTCTCGAATATAACAAAGGTTTGCAATGCATCCGAATAGTTTCCGATAGAGAACACAAAAAACAAGCATAACCCATTCCAAATTGAAAGTTTGTGGTTTTTGTTTTGTTCATGTGCTAAAGATGAAACTTAGTGGACTAATTTCTTTACCTTGCAGGTACTTGTCACATCGCTTAAGTTCTTCCTTGGTCACGATGATGAGGACGAAGCTGGTAGCGATTCAGAAAGCGAGGAGGAGGTGGATCTGAAAGGTGCGTTAATGGCAAATCGTGTGAACAAAAAGACGAAGAAACGCCAAAAGCAGCTGCAACAGATTAAGAAGCAAGCGGTCAAAGCGCAAAAGAAAAAGAAAAATGCGCCAGCCTTCAACTTCTCTGGCATTCATCTGATACACAATCCTCAGGGCATGGCCGAGGGTCTGTTTAAGCAGCTGCAGTCGAGCAACGAACGCTTTGAAGTCAAGCTAATGCACCTGGATGTCATCTCTAGACTAATAGGCATTCATGATCTATTTCTGTTTGGCTTTTATCCATATATCACACGGTTTCTGCAGCCGCACCAGCGGCAGGTGACTCGCATCCTTCAATTCGCTGCACAGGCCTCCCACGAGTTGATTCCGGGTGACGTTATTGAGCCCATCTTGAAGACAATTGCAAACAATTTCATCACCGAGCGCAATTCCAGTGACGTCATGGCAATCGGCTTGAATGCCACTCGAGAGATTTGCATGCGCTGTCCTTTGGCCATGGGAGAGGACTTGCTGCAGGATCTGGCCATGTACAAGACATATAAGGAGAAGTCCGTGATGATGGCCGCGCGCTCCTTAATCACGCTCTATCGCGAACAGCTGCCTGCTATGCTGCACAAAAAGGATCGAGGCAGACAAACGGAGGCACAGGCTGAGCGCAAGGTGAGGGCCTATGGCGAAAAGGATGTCAAGGATACTGTGGTGGGTGCAGAGGTGTTGCTCAAGGACTCGAAGACAATTGACATCGGCAGTGACGATGACGACACGGATTCCAATGATGGCGAGTGGGTGACTGTGACCCACAGCGATAACGAGGATCGATGCGATGAGCAGGCCAGCGAAAGCGAAAGCGATGAGGAGGACGAGGACGACGATGAAGAAGAGGATGATGAGGACGATGAGGATGATGATGAAAAGGCAGAGGCAGAGGCGGAAGAGTCCGATGAAGGCGTTTCCAGTGATTGCGGAGAGTCAACACGCAAGGAGAAAAAGGAAAACGCAAAATCGTCTAAGGCAGAAATAAAAGTGCTCGACCAGAAGGAAGCTGCGCAGGAGCTGGCTTTGACGCGCATCTTCACTGATGAGGACTTCAAGCGCATCAATGCAGCCAACCTGAAGAAAACGGTGACAAGCGCACGGAAACGTCCTCTGGAGCAGGATCGAGCCGAGTTTGTGAAGCTAAACAGCATCGAGATGATTTATAAGAAACGTAAACACGATAAGGAATCACGATTGGAGACGGTGCAGGCGGGACGACAGGATCGCGAGCGTTTCGGCTGGAAGGATGGTCGCGTGAATGAGAATTGCTCGAAGACGAATCGAGAGAAACGCAAAACGAAGAACTTTGGTATGTTGCGTCACAAAGCACGCTCCAAGGTGAAGAAGAGCTTCAGGGATAAGCAGCTGGCCATGCGCAAGCATCTACTGCATCAGAAAAAGATGAAGTAGACGCTGGACTGGCAGATGGAACAGCGGCTGATGAAGTGGAAAAGGAATTGGACAAAGCTGAAGTGGATGAAAATGGAGTCAATTCGTACAGCAGCTGATTAAGCATTCAATAAAAATGAAGGCGGACGGACAGCAAGTCGAAACTGTTTCCAAGGAAAGTGCTAGAAATGGAACATAAAGAGAGGCTGATTAATATGGAAGATGGAGTGTATCAGTTGAAAGTTTCGGGAGCTCCTTTTGTATTGACACTGCAATAAAGTTTATTTCAATTTCTATTTTAATTTACGAGTTATTCTTGGGAGTTCACATAGTTTCTATCTGCGTCGCTTTTCCGATTTCTTCACACGCTTGGGTCCCTTGACAAAGCACCAGTCTACTTGAATCGTTTGTCCCATGATATCCGTGCCATTTAGCGCCTCCTTGGCTGCCAGAGCTTGTTTGTGCGTCTCATACTCAACCAGGGCGTAACCTTTTGAGAAACCTGTGCGTCGATCTAGATTCAAATGTATGTTCTTAATCTCTCCGTAATCGCAGAATTTCTCCTGTATTTCATCCTCCTGTGCCTCTTCGTGTATGGAGGTCACAAACAGTATCCAGCCCTCGACGGAGCGCTGTGGCCCTGGTTCCAGTTCATCGTCATCCTCGTTGCGCACCCTTTCGTAGCTGTGAATGGCTTCGCGTGTGTTGCTGTCGCTACCAAAGCCGCGTCCTTTGCGATGTTTAGCTTTCTCCTTCAAGCGTACAATGCCCTCTGTTTGTGTGGGCGTGGGGTATAATGGTAAAACATGAATAGCCGGCATGCGAAAACGTTGAAAATAAGCGCGATATTCACATTTCGCACGCTACTTACGGTCGCCATCCTCGTCCACTTCAAACTCTTCAGCATTATCAATATCCAACACATCAGCCATTTTACTTCAATTTGCTGTTTAACTTATTTAAGTAGATCTAATTGAACTATTTTAAAGAGATTTAGCCGCGTGTTGTAGTTGTGATTTTTTCAGCGTTCTATGACAAAACTATAATGTACTAAAAAATACCATGTCATGAACTGAACTACTTATTGTTCCAAGTTGGTATTTATATAATTTAGTATTAAATACAAATATGATAAATATATTTTGTATGTAATTGGTAATCGAGATATTTTTTATTTATAGCTAAAAAGTTATTTTTACTCGTATTTGAATAAATAAAATGTTGTTGAAATGTCAGCATTGATTTTAAGAGCTTTTCGTAATTTTGGTATTTTTTGGTTAATTATTCTTGGTCACTTGCTACTTTTAGTGCATTAGTACAAATTATGTTTTTGTCTTTAACGAGTTAAAGGCGAACGCACAGGGGGTCTTCAGTTAAAATCAACTACCGGGTGAGTAAAGAGATAGCGGCAATTGCCGAATTGATTAATAAATGTATACTATATATGCCCAGAAGGGTGTGTGACATGACCAGCTGCAATCGCTGGCAATTAATGCTGTAAATGTTTTGTGCGTGTGTTAACATATTCATTAATTGTAGATTTTTGCGCTAACGGAAACCATGGATCAAGGACAAAATGATTCTGCCAATCGATACTCAGGCAATGAGAAATTGGATAAATGTATTCACGATTGGCTTTCTTGGGATCCCAATCCAACGACAAAGAATGAAATTCAAAAATATGTGGATAACGAAGACTGGGAAACGTATGTAAAAAATATATACTAGATATAAATGATTTATAATAGACTCATGTTTTTTTTTTTTTTAAACAGTCTCAAATTGCGGCTTTGTAAACGTATTTCATTTGGAACTGCCGGACTGCGAGCTGAAATGAGAGCGGGCTTCGATTCGATGAACGATTTGGTTGTCATTCAGTAAGTTTCCACAGTAATTCGATCTCGAATTCCTATTAGAGTTCGATTTCCAATTTCTCTAAAATGAATGACTTCATGCTAAATGACGTGTAAACTTTTTACAGAACTGCGCAGGGCATTTGTCAATACTTAAAGGAGCAGTTTCCTAAGAAGTCCTGGAGCGAACAAGGCATTGTGTTTGGTTACGATGCCAGGAATAATAGCAAGCGTTTTGCGCAGCTCTCAGCATTGGTTTTTCTGGAAAATGGCTTTCGTGTTTATCTCTACACATGCTTTGTGGCCACACCTATAGTGCCATTTAGCATTAAGAAACTGAAATGTTTGGCAGGCGTGCAGGTGACAGCCTCTCACAACCGCAAGGAAGACAATGGCTATAAGGTAATTAATACATAAGTACAGTGAAAACTGCCATGAAAGAAGCGATTACCTCATGCGTATTCGAGAATCATCTAGAACAAACTTCATCAGACACTCCCCATACAGCAGCGTTACAAGTCCCTCACTCTCTGACAGTCGCGTGATCGAAAGGGATGGCAGATTATACCAAATTCGCGCCGTTTCTGCTCTGCCCTTCAATTTCTCTCTGTCTGAAATGCATATTTGTATGTGTGTACATACGAGCACTGCTTTAACGACTCAATCGAGTATTAAACTTCGACTTTAACTCTCTCTCACACACACATACACGTTCAACTACATGTATTATCCTATATACGAATATATTTTAACTTTTCCAGGTCTATTGGAGCAATGGAGCGCAAATAATCCCGCCGCATGATTCGGAAATACAAAAGGCAATTGAAAAGAACTTGAAGCCACAGATAAAGAAGGATAATCTGGTGTGGAAAGATGATGGGTCAGTAGATGACAAGGCTTTGTGGTCCAAAAAACAGCTGCAGGATCCCTATGATCAAGTGGTGCCTGCCTACTTTGAAGAATTGATAAATCAAATTCCCAAAGAACTTATCCAAGCCAACCAGGATTGTCCTTTGAAGTTCGCCTACACGGCCATGCAGGGAGTTGGCTATGAGTTTGTCAAGAAAGCTATCAAGTGTGTGAATTTGGAGCCACTCATCCCAGTGGAGGAGCAAGTCGAGCCCGATCCAAACTTCAGCAAAACGCCGATGCCCAATCCCGAGGAGGCCAAAGCTCTTGCGCTAGCCGAAAAAACGGCAAAAGACAATAAATGCCAAATAATTCTGGCCAATGATCCGGATGCAGATCGTCTGGCTGTTGCTGAAGTTTACGAGAACGAGGTTAAGATCTTTACTGGCAATGAGATAGGCGCACTGTTGGGCTGGTGGATGTTGGAAATCATGAAGATATCAAAATCAAAAGTAGACACAAATCATGTGATGATCGCCAGCACCGTGAGCTCGAAGATCTTGAAGTCAATGGCGCACATTGAAGGCTTTACATTCCACGAGACGCTGACGGGCTTTAAGTGGATGGCCAACAAGGCCATCGATGAGGAATTGACAGGTAAAACGGTTCTCTTCGCCTTCGAAGAGGCTATTGGGTTTATGATCTCCACTGTGGTGCCAGACAAGGACGGTGTCAGTGCCGCCGCCCACGTGGCCACCATGGCGCGGTATCTATACTGCGAGAAGAAACTGACATTGCAGCAGCAATTGGAGAACATCTATAGGCTATATGGCTATCATACTAGTATTTGTTCCTATGTCATCTGTGACGATCAAGTGAAGATCAAGCAGATATTTAATCGCTTGCGCACCTTCGACAACGGCCAGGCAAACACCTATCCAAGGAGCATTCTCAATGGCAAGTACCAGATCGAGCATGTGAGGGACTTGACCACGGGCTACGACAGCAGCACGGCTGATCTGAAGGCCACTCTGCCAGTTAGCTCCAGCTCCCAGATGATAACCTTTACATTCGCGAATAACGTTGTCGTAACCCTACGCACCAGCGGCACGGAGCCCAAGATGAAATATTACGCCGAGATTTGTGGAGAACGAGAAGATTCAAATTGGGAACAACTCACGGCGACACTAAAGATTATGGTCGAGGCGCTCGTAAATGAGTTCTTTGAGCCAGAGAAAAATAAGCTGAAGCTTAGGTCAGCTAACTGAACGAGTAAATATAATAAAACGAATTTAGAGCGCACAATCATTCATGATTATAATCTATGTACTACATACTATAATCTACCCAGTTGTACTTGACATTAACCAAATACGCACAGTTATCTTTGTTATATGTTTAGACTTTAGCTGATATTTATTCCAACTATGTATACATTTAAGCATATAGTAGACGAAATGTATTAGCGGCATCAATTTGTACCCTCAACTGATTTGATTTCACAAATAAAGAATTCCAACTATCACAATCAATGCCAAACTTTTGATATTTGAGATTAAACAAATCAGGTTTCTCTGTATACCCTATGGATATACAGAGGTTGTCACCAAGTGTACCAGACATGGGCTCTCTGGCTTAGCAAGAAAGGTATGTTTATGGAATATAATATCTTAGGGCAACATCAGTGCACTATTAATACAATTATTAAGAATTTATTAGTATCAATGTCAATGCCTCTACAGTAGAATTACCTCTGTTCTATTGAAGTGGTATTTAATCCTTAATTACAGTCTTAGATTCATCAGTCATCATGGCCGTTTCCATCGTCCCAGTTCTTCCTTTGTAAAGCGGAGGTCGAAATCTGTTTAGAAATAGATTTTATTCAGGAAGTATTCAGAAAGGGTATTTGTAGTGTTAAGAATTCCCTATTTATTCTAATGCTTCTGAAACTTAAGTGGAAACCATTAAATACTTGAGTTGCTCTGCTTCAAAATCAAGTTCGCATAAGTATAAAAGCATATACATACATATTACACATCGTCATACATGTACGTCATAAATATATTATGTATGTAAGTATAATCAGGTTGTTAATTGGATTCATAGATTAACCCATTCGAAAACAAATGAGGAGATAAACAAAACGAATTCATTCGAAAGTAATTTTTCGCAATTTATTTATACAGCATTTGATTGTTTATAAAATATCTATAAATATTTAAATGCATATCGCTTACACATATATGTATGTATGCGTATTCTGTTTAAAATCGTGATAAAAAAGCATTTAGCTAGAAAATGAAATCAAAAGTTGAGGCAAAAACAAGGCAAAGTATGCTAGCTTATATAAAATGGGCATATTTGTATGTAATAAATGGGATGCTAAAACTTATCATTCTACATATAATATATGTATATATAAAGTGTTATCAGTTTTCATTGTTATCTCTTACACTCAAAGATTGTGCTTTTAGTAGGTTGCTAAGCACAGCTTTTATGAAAAATAGAGATAGGCTCTATGTATTACATATATGTATATATACGTATATATGCATTGGCGATATCGTAAAATGCTTGTTAGCAGTCTCTTGCTTAAGTATATGTATTTGTCACGAGTTACATTCGAGTTATAGTGCAGCTTTTTATACTATATATCCTCTATAGATATGTTCAAGTTTTAGTTGATGTTTCATGTATATATATAAATATATATATCGGAATCGCGCCTAGAGTATTATTTTAAGATATACTCTAGGCGCAAGTCATATATCATTTTTAGACCCACAACCAGCGTATATAGGCATAGGTATATACTTTTAGGGACTATGGTTTACTTATACATACAAGCATATGTAGTTTATAAATATTTTCTACAAATTATAAAAATCATTCAAAAATCGTTTAGCTGCATTCTTAAATTGTTTTTCTCATATTTGGAATACTTATGCTTAATACTTTGGGAACTTGTTGAAGTCGTTTCAATGGGACGTTCGATATGTGTGCGTTGAGCTTAGGATATTTTCACTGGGCTATCAAAAGTATCGGATCAAATTGTTCATCAGACCTACCATAACAAAAACCTAAAAATTAATTCAATTGTAGATATATGAAAACTAAATACAAGTTAGAGTAAATCAGAATAAAACAAAAATTTTGAACATTGAAAGAGAGATTATAGTTTCTAAACTGTATTCGAATTGAAATTAAAAAGTCGAAAACCCAACAATGATATTGCTTAGCTGAAGTATATAACTGCTAAAAAAAGAGCTGCCGGAAAGTTATTTACTAGATTACTTTCGAAAGTGGAAGAGCGGAAACTTCGAGGAGGAATGAGGGGGCCCACCTCGAAGCTGTTGCTGAATGTAATGAGAGAGATATGGCCTGAAGACAGGGAATGTTATGATTTCACTGGGCGAAGTATTGAAGACTAGAAATCAAAGTTCTGAATTAACATATAGTGAGGAGACAGTGAGAATTCGAATAGAAAAAAAAAAACATATGCGATGAGATATAGGCAGCAGCGCAAGTTATAGCACAGAGCAATGAGAGGTTGATAAAAGTTAAAGTTTGAATTCAGAGAAAAAGCTGCATAAATGTTCAATCAAATTAATATACGTACGAAATACCTATAAAAAACAATATACTCATTTCAGTTTTGTGAATGAGTATAAAAGTCGTAAATTAAAAAACATTTGAGCAGCTTTTACCTATAGGAAAGTTAGAGTATTAGACTAAATGTTACAAACTAAATATAAAGTCTTATAAATTGCTAAACCTTAATTTCTTATATAAAATCTATAAATTTTAGCAGCAGCTGTCTCATCGTTATAAAAATTTGTATAAAATATTAATCAATTATTATTAAATATCGGTATATGGATGCAGAGTATCAGACGAACACATGCAAATACGACGATTGCGTTTGATTGCTGTGCGTGGGCGTTATCAAAGGAGGAGTCCTTTGCTGCTGCTGTTGATGGTGTTGCTGGTGGTGCTGATGTGGCTGGTGTCATACAGATGTCTCGGAGTTAAGCTTCAATACAAACTTATTGCTCTTGGGATCCACTACCTCCTCAGCCAAGTTGAAGTGGGGCAGCTTGTAGACGGTGACCATCAGGGAGACATCGTTCTGTATCAGCTGGAACGTGCATTCGTTGCTAATGGGGCGTGAGACAATGTCGTCACAAATCAGTGACCACGATTGCACCCAGCGACGCTCCTTCTCGCTCTGCATGACTGGCGATTCGGTCAGATAAGGCTCCAGAAAGGCGCGCGGCGACAAGTCATGTTTGAGGCAGTGCGCCAGATGCTTGAGTATGCTCTCAAAGGTGTGCCTTGGCTGCTGCCGTGTTACACGCAAATATTTCTGAAGAGCGCGAGCCATCGAGGGAAACACTGCCTGAGCTGCCTCTTGGGGATCGAGGGGCAAGGCGGGAGCTGGTTCATTGTGTATGCGCTTGATGTGAGTGAAGGCCTCCTCGGCGGCCGTGATAAGGCGTGCGCGTCGCTTCTTGACCCTCCGCTCGTACTCGTGTTCCTCGTAGAAGCGTTCATTGTGTGAGGAGTCACGACGTCTTGCATTTGCCGCCAGCACAGCTCGACTCTGGCTCTGCTGCTGCGAGTTGCTGACGCCATCGACCTCGTAGTATTTGAAGCTGTTCGAGATTTTGTTTCGTTGGGACTTCGATATTGATATGGGTATGCGCTCCAGATACGGATTGAAGATGGGAAAGTCCACATAGTAGTGCTGCAGCACCCAGACGGCAGCACGCTGAATGCTCAGCTGTCCAAGCATATACGAGTGCGAAACGCCGTCTGGGGAGCGTATGATCTTGACATAGTAGCAAGGCTGCTGATGGCGCAGCTCCAGTAGGACAACAGCTACATAGTGTATGAATAGCAGCGTGTCCACAAAGTTGGTCGCATAGCCAACTAGCGATTTATAGTCCACAGTATCGCCGCCGGTTTCCACCACAATCTTGGCGCTATTTGTGACCTGCACAATGTAGAAGAGCCAATAGGCAAAGGTGCAAATGGTGACCAGGAGCAGCACGATCGCGCGATACAGAAAGATCCGCGGCATGCTGGCCGCCGTGCGACGCATGAATAGAGCCCACAATCCAATGGCCAGCAGCAGCAATCGAGCGGCCAGCGAGACGAGCTGTCCCTTGCACTGCTCGCTGCAGGCCAGCAGCTGGGTGCGCACAGTCTGCGTCAGTTCCGGATGATCGAAGGCCGATGGAAAGAAGCCAATGTATGGCATCACGACCATGGCGACGGGCGAGAAGAATGCGCCACTGCCGAGCAGGAAGTAGAATGTTGATTCCACGTAGCGACGGCAAGCGAAGCCGAATCCTTTCTCGTTCTCTCTGTGCCACATATTGTTGATGTCCTCCATGGAAATGCTTTGCTCCGAGGTGTTGCCCGTGACAGCCGTTGTATTCTCACCCCAATTCTCATCCTGTGGCAATATCTGCACCTCAATCACCTCCTGGCCGTCGCGAGAATCGTCACCTGGCAAGCCGGATATGGGTGAGCTTCCCATTTGTATACATATGGCTGTAAATTACTCACCTGTCATATTAACACTTGTTTGATAGGGCGCCATGTCGCTGCGTCCTTTGCCGGATTTCGAGGAATGGGTGCTCCGATGTGAGTGCCTTGAGCGATCTCTGTGATATCCGTTGTTAACGGTGCCTCCGCCACCGCCACCACCACTTCCGCCTCCTCCACCTCCTCCACTATTGTTGTTGTGATTGCGAGAGCGTCGCGAGCGTCCACTGTGTTCCGATTTGACAGATTCGTTTTCCATTGCAAGTAAACAACAAAAATTGCAATTGTTGGCGTCCGTGCGTGGGCGTCAACACCTGAAACTCGCTTTGTAGCCTAATTAACTGACCGCGCTGGCTATTTTACTGTCTAACTGTAATTACGGCAGGTTTTTCCCATATGCATATACATGTATGTGTTTTTCTTTGTATGCGCGTGTGTATGTGTTCGCAGCACATTCATAGGTATTTGTTGCAAGCGGTGCGCTGGGTGGAGTCGACGCCGTTTGCACTGTTGCACATAGCTTTGCAGTGAGTTTTATAACTAACAAAGGAGTACATGAACACTTTTTATCATTTGCATATTGCTTTCATTAATATTTTTCACTATTTAATACACATTTTCACTGCTTTTTATTTCACTGAGGCTGTGCTCCGCTCTGCATTCAACCCCGACCAGCAAGAATGGCAGCCAGTGTCACCACACTAAAGGAAAATAAGACAGCTATGCACCCATACACACGCTGGTTATACTTTGGTATTTTACAGCACTACTGGTATGGAAAATGCTCTGTTTACGTGGAATTTATTATGTATAATTGGAACGGCCGCTCAGCTGCGCTTTCAATAGCTCAGATGGTAGAGCGATGGAAAATATTTTTTAGACTCTACAGGTCGCTGGTTCGACTCCAGTTCGAAAAATTGTTTTTTTTTTTTTTTGCTTTTATGTTCTTTTTTAAATTAAAAAAAAAAAAGACAATACATCGATATTTTCTTACTTAATGTTTTAAATATTTAAAGGCTGGCACGCAGTTATACTGCTTAGCAGCTGCCTGGCATGCTGATTGATTGGATCCATGCGTATGGCGCTTTGAATAAGCTTTAGGGACCGAGTCCTATCTACACGTTCCAGAGCTCGGCAGGCATAGATGGTTGTCTCTGATATCTCACTGGCATTGTTGCTGATATACATATAAGAAAAAAGTTAGATACACAACGAAACATATATAAAATATAGTGAAGCCTACCAGTCACTCAAGTAGCTGGGCCCCAATTTAAGCGCAATCAAAGCCATATTAGCTAAGGCCTTTTCATAAGTCAGATCGTTCGGGAAATAGTCCAGTAGAAACTTGACAAAAATTTTGCGCAGCGCAGGATTTTGAGGAAACATACGCACACGTTGTTGAAGATAGTTTAAAGCCTGACGAGAGCCCTCCTGATAATGAGAAATATGATGGTTATAGTGATAAAATAATTAAAATTTGCATTGCTTACATTTATTAAACAGTAATTAGCAGTTAAGTAGGACACATCAGCCGAATACTTCTCATGAAATCGATACTTTTGTAGGTCTGGCATGATGATCTTGATCAGATCATTATCCCGATGCAGCACGCCCAAAGCAAAAGCCGAGAAGAAGGCTTGAATGGGCGCATTTTTGAGAAGTATGCTAGTCGAATATATAGAAATAGATTAGAATCGATTGGGATACAGGTTTTAGAACTATTTCTAGCATACCATTGATAAAGCAGTGTTTTGGTATCCGTATCGCCTTGAGAGGCATATACTAGAGAGGCCATTGCTACCAATATAGTTGCTGCCTTTTCCTCATCCTGCGCCACGCCGCTGGCCAATAGGTTGGAGTATGTTGCATACGATTCATGAGACTGACCACAGCGATAATAGGCCAAAGCCAAGCCAGAAATGGGCTTAAAGGAAGCATGGGCTACATTGTCAAAGGCGCTGACTGCATGCTCCGGCTGGCCGAGCTTCAAGTAAAGATACCCTAGATTCGTATAAAGATTATCTCGATCTGTGCCGGGCGGCGCTTGCTGGCAGGCACAAGTAAATGCATTAATTGCCTGTTTGTAAAGCTTTTGGCGTGCAAAAAGAAAACCCTGAAATGTAAGCGACGCAATGCAGGCCTCCGACTCCTCATTCTGAACAAACCTGAAATACACCAATTATAATCAACATATTTTCCAATAAACACAACTAGGAATAGCATACCAGTTGATGGCATCCAGGGCATTTATATCCGCATGCATATGCTCTATTGCATGTTTGTTCTGCGGCTTATCGCGCAGAGCCGGATTGGAGAGCACATGGCAAACCCAATGGGCATAACCAATAGCTGCTTCTGGATGATATTCGAACTGCTGGCAATGCCGAAATAAATCGAAAGCCTCCTCCTGCTCGCCCATTATTTCGGCTACCAAAGCCTGTCCTATCCAAGCATTCGGATAAATCGGACTCGATTGCTGGGCACGCTTAAAGGCCTCGTTAGCTAATCTTATATCGCCCAGCTTGATATATAATACGCCGAGATTTGTCCAAGCTGTATAGGATTTCCTCTCAGTCACAACGGCTTGGATTAAACAATGCTGGGCCACAGGAAAATTCTCATTGGCTGTATGCATATTGATCACACCCAACAGATTCCAGTTCTGCCAGCGATTGCTCTGTGCCTTGATGGCCATCTTGCACACCTTGGCCGCTATCTCCAGATGACTATTCGCATCCTCTGGCATATAGACGGCACTAAAGTAGCTGCATAAGGCCAACTCATACCACAAGAATGTGTTTTGCTTAAGCTTCAAGGCGCACAAGTAAAATCTTTGCGCCAGTTGCAGTAGATCTTTGCGCGATAGATGCACAATTTTCTCCTCTCGCTTTACCAAATTGCCCGTCACATCCAAATTGGCCAAGGATTGAGGTAACTGAGCTGTTTGCACCAAAACACTCGCAGTGAGTCGCCAAAGCCAAACCATGCACTGAGCCTTGCTTTGCAAGAAGGCGCTGAATAGAATTGGAAACGAAGCAGATTAATCTTAAATCTATATTCAGTCTGTATTCCTTTACAACCTCTGCAGATGCTCCAAAGCCATTTTGAAGTTATCCTTGGCACGTCCATACAGATTTTGACTCCTTAGATTATGGGCAAGTCCTATATGTGCCTCTGCAGCGCCTCTCAAAGCAGGCAAATAATCTGGGTACTTTTTGAGTAGCTCATCAAAGTCAGCAATTGCTTCTGGATACATGCGAATCGTCTACAAGAAAATGGCGATATAAGTGAATATATACTATACATAAACTGAATCTGATCGATTACCGTTTTAATCACAGCTATTTGCAATTGAGCGTAACTGTTGTTGGGCGATAGCTCGAGAATTTTTTGAAAGACACGAATCGCTGAGTTGTACGAGCCGCGTGCTGCATATGCATCGCCCAGGGACTCCCAATAGATCATGCATTTATAGTCGTGCTTAATAGCAAGACGAAAGCATTGAATAGCCTAAAAAGTGTTGTAGAAAACATATTCAGCGAATGATTAATGTATTCAGCTAATATATAACTAATTCAGGTAGAGAATGCCTACATTATCCAGTTTTTTCACTTTCAAAAAGTGCAATCCCAGTTTGTACTGCAAGCGAATGGCATCGTCGTTGCTCAGGTGGCGCAAGGTATTAAGCAACAGCGCTTCATTCAGATCCTCTTCGCCCAACTGCTGATAGATTGAGCTTAAGGCATCCACAGCCTCTTGGGCCAAAGCATTCAAACTAACGCACTTCTCAAAACATTTGCGCGCTCGTATAATATCATCATTCGCTTGATACAACTGCCCCAAGTGCTCGAAGCATTCAGCAATGTGTGGCTGTAGTCGTGTAGCCTTCAGCATGCAGTTCAGCGCCTCGGCGAAATTCCGCAGCTTCATATTCAGCTTGCCTCGCAGCAACAGCGCTTCGAATGATTCATTGTCGGCTAGGGCTTCAAGCGCTTCCGAAGGAGGCCTATAAGACGGATATAGACGTTAGACTTATGAGTGTCATGTAACCAACTAGGCTTACAGTAGAAATTCAGCGTGTGTAACTGCATCTAATGGTAAGGACTTCAACTTTTCCACTTCACCCAGCTTATAATAGCACCTGAAAGACAGAAACAAGATGTACAAATAGAAGTTTTCTATTATATAGTATATATATATAGAGATATTCTACAAACCGCGCCAGTGCCTTTAAGTTAAGTTCATCTGTTGCTGCTTTATCCTTCAGCAGTTTAGACGCCTCTTCCAATAGTTTGACATCCGTTTCATAGGACAAACATTGAGCATACTCTTCATGCTGCTCGCCCAACTCCTGCCACAGCAAAAGTGCTAATTTGTGAGCACCCAATTTCATGTGAATCCTAGCCAGAAGCTGTTGAGTCATTCTATAGCTTGGTTGGTATTCCAGAGCTTGCAAAGCCAATTGTCTAGCCGCAACGAACTGCTCTTTTGAATACAATTCTAATGCCTGAACAAGTAGCGCTAAATTTGATTTGGGATTGAGTTGCAGCAGCTGTGCGGCATATTCTGGAACAGAGCGACGCAGCTCGCTTTGCCAAGCCTTATTATGCACCTTCTCGTGATTCTCGCAGTGCATCATACAGATCCATTCATAGCCATAGACATCGCGTGGATGTGATTCAGTCATATTGCAAGCGTGCCGCATGCAGCTAACATAGTCCTGGTGTTTGTAGAGGAACTTCAGATAACGCTTGTAGACCAAGCTCTGTAGATCGGCATCGCCCACCGACAAAAGTTTTTCCATGCTCATTTTGTACTGTCAGGCAGAGAAGGGATTATAATTAAGATGCCAGCTTATTGTTGCAAACACTCACGAGTTCCGTTTCTGCGGCTGGCACCTCCAGATCGCTGGAAAACCATATTCTGCCCAAATACTCCAGGATCTTATTAATATGGCTATCATTCGGATTCTGTGCCTTCTTCTTGAAAACGTCCAAGCACGATTTAGTCAAGGCAGCATTTGCCGCCAAGGCATAGAGCTTATCATAGTATTCCAAGCATTTCTCTCTACAATTACAAGATTTGTTTGACCTTTTTGCTAGTTATTCGATTGGTCACACTTACGGCACTAGGTCAATGAGCTGCTCGTAAACTTGTGGCAGCTCCTCTGCAGGTGCACAATTCGCCAGTCCTTGCAACGCGACTGTGGCGGGTCCCTCGGTATACTCAATGGACTTCCGGAGAAATTTGGCCGCTTCTACTTTGTCAATATTCTGGTAGGCAGCGCCGAGCAACAAGTAGCCCATATAATTTTTTGGATCACCCCTGAGTAGACGCTGGAATAAATGTCAAAGTCAGCAAAAATTACAGAAGATTTCCTATTTCCATTTGTCTTCACTTGGCATTTATGTATGGCGTCTCCATATTTGGCCATTTTTATTGTTTCCCGTATGTCCTTGATTAGGGCTTTTGATTCCTTGGTACTCATTGTGGATATCATTTCAGATTATTTTTGTTTTATCAGCTTATTTCAATAGAAATGGTCAACATCAGTGTGACGCTACAAAAATTACATATATTCTTGAATGAGTCGAACAAACATGCTGCTCTATCGACTTGCAAATACCCTGCTAGTATATCGACTTAGCTTTGAAAATGAAAATGATAAACAAATCAGTTGTAATTTAGTAAAAACCAAAGATATGTTGGGTGTAATTAAATTCAAAACTATCCAACTTTCAACCATATCATCAACGTATCTACAGGTAGTAAGGGCAGATGAACTTGCTTTGGTCGGATTACAGGTAAATTTGTGTGATAGGGGAACACTGAACATTTACTAATCAGCCGGCAGATGTTTAGTGTTGGAAATAGATTAATATTCTTGCATTAATCAGACACACACAATAGCAAATATATTTCATACAAATGAGTGTGCGAAATGAAAATTGAGGCGAATTCCTACTTTGAATAGAGTGAGAGGGAAAATTTTAAATTTTAACCAAGTGCTGTAAGTTGCGATAGAACTTGTTGCGGCCTGTGCAGCAGTTAATTGATAGAGCAACACTGAAAGTTGTTTGTCATAAATAGCTGTAATAATGCGAAAGTATCAACAATTGGCGCTCTTACTAATATCCTGCTTCAGTGTGGGTGTGCTCATGATGTACAAGAGCGAAAACAATCGCTTAAAATATGTTTTAAAGTATGTCAACTTCTTTGGCCGCAACGATGCAGCGGTGCTGCGTCGCATTCAGAACAGCACAACGGCCGAGGATGAGGAGCGCCACTCCAAATGGGTGTTTACCAAGCCACTGCCCGTTTGGCAGGTAATTGGAGACTCCTTTTATGCCTACTCGGCATACTGGTATGGAATATAGTCATATTTGTCATGTTGTATTTATGCCTAAGTTAATTTTACTTGTGCCTTTGTAGGAAACAAAAAGAACTGGTCGTTGGGGGCGAGGCTCACGTTATTGTGGTTGGCAAGAAGGGAGCTGTTGTGGACTTTCGGTGCAGCTTCGACGTGGGCGGTCGCAGTGTACAGGGCAAATTTCGCTTTCAACGCGATGCAGCGGAGGGCGTGGTCGATGACAAGGCTAGCACCTTTACCAATTACAATTTCTTTTGTCAAGTCAGCCGCAATTTCGGACAGCCAAAGTACGTTTCCTTTAGCGATGCGACGTCCCCGTTCAAGAGGCAAGTGAAGCTGCATCTGCGGTACTTGAAGCCGGCAAAGACAGTTGCCAAGACAACACAGACAACAGCAGCAGTACCAGCTGGACCGACCCTTACTGAAGTGCCTGTTCGCTTTCCTGCCACAATTTGTGTTGATTTGGTTAGCTTTGATGTGGGCTCGCGATTTGCACGCAATGTGGATGCCATGGTGCAGTTCTTCCTATTCCATCAGGCGCTGGGTGTCCAACACTTCCTAGTTTACAACTACGATGAGCTGCCGGAGCAAGTTGTACGCCTTTTGGAGCGCACCAAAATGCATCTGTATAGCTTGCCCTTCAACTTCCCATTTCTGCAAACGAATGGCACGACTGCTCGCATTCGTCAGCTGCTGCAGACGGATTGCCTGCTACGCAATGTGAATTATGCTAGCTTCACGATGCTGCTCACTCCGAACGAACTGGTGTATCCAAATGCACGCTTCGCCGACAACTCGGGCAAGAACTCGCTGCAGCGGAATCTTCGCGCCTATGAAAGCGATACAGTTCGCTTTGAGCTGTCCACCTTTGCCGTCTGCTTTGATGAGCGCAGGAAGCTGCTCATAGACAACGTGCAATACGATCCAGAGTTGAAGTCCAAGGTTCTCCTCTATCGCCTGGAGTTGCCGGCAGCGCAGCTCTTGCTGCCCACGGCGAAGGGCGTCGAGCTGCCGTTGTCCAGTGGCTTCGCACATCGCTATGTAGAGTGCCAACAGGTGGGCGCAGATGGGCTACATGATTGGCGCACTGGCGTGCGGGAGGAGATGATGGAGCACATCACTCAGCTGCGCAATGAAGTCGATTTACTCATTTAGATGTTAAGTCTAGAGTTAATTAAGCTAGTTAGGTTAAGCTAAAAGTATTGACTCAATTCGACTGCCATAATGCCAAAAGCTTTATCTATGACGTTTTCCACTCAGCTTCAAATTTTGTATAATTATAGACAATTTTTAAAGAAAAACAATTGGACAATTATTCAGTATCAATTCAAATGAAATATATCCAATTGAATTGGCTGAAACGAAAGAGTAAAAATGTCTTAATGGATACTATTCAATTAAAATGGACAGCCATTTAGAAAATTGATTAAATTAAATTGGAAGATTTTGTAATATCAAAATTTTTCTGTCGCTTGGACTTTATTACTAGGTCTATTAATTTACTGTCGAATATATATTTGTCAAACATAAGAGATTAATTTGAATTCAATTTCACTCTGCAACTCCAATTGTAAGGCGAGCAATAATAAAACATAAACAATTAGCTCATAGAACGTCCAATCGATCTATTTTCATCAACATCCGATTAGATAATAATATTCTTTGCTTGATATTTCAATTTCAAATTAATCAATTTCAACTCCAATTAAACTTTGATCAAGTACACAACTGCTTAATAGCAAAAAGCAGATGATATATGCCTGACTAAACACGTTTCAATTTTATATATTATATATATATATATATATAGACACATATTGTAAAACATCGATTGGGTAATACAATATTGTTTTAGTTATTTGTTTTCTGTTCATTTTTCTCTGTGAATGTTTGCAGTTGTATTTGAGGGACTGAGTTGCATTTGAATGCGCCATATCCAATTATTATTAATATTCATTATTATAAATTTTCGATTTTATTTTAGGCGTTGCATTAGCGCAGCATTCCTGAGGCCAGCCTTCTCGATGGTGGAGCTGTCATCGCTTAGCTCGCGTGTAGGAAACGAAGAGACCAAAACAAAGTTACTATTCGAGTACTGTGGACGAGCACTGTTTAAGGGAAAAGAGAAAGAATATAGTAAACAGGTTTACAGGCCGTGTTGGCGTCTAAATTACTTTTGTATAAAGCGACGTATGTCGGAAACAGTGTGCGTCAAATTGAACTGAGCTGCCAGCCTAGAACCGTCTGCCAATCGTATTTGGAGCGTTGTCAAAGGAGCTTCGGCATTCAAGTTTAGGGCATCTCGTGCAGTTGCCTCGTGGCTGGCCACTTCAGTAGGTGATGCCGCAGCGGCAGCAGCGACTGGTGCACGATTGGTGACAATGTTGGCCACCGGGCTGCCAAGTTTCTGGCCCGAGCCCTTGAAGGTTTGTGGCACTGCCTGTCGCTTGAAATCCTCCTGTCTGTGATCCTCCACATCTACATTGACCATGCGACCCATTTCCAACAGCTCTTGGGGGATTTCACTAGAAGAGAGTTGCCGATATAAATATTAAGCATTTTGGAATATCAAACCAGATATTTACCCTCTCATCACGGTCTCCAAGAACTCCTTGTTCTGTGGATCATCATAGTGACGCAGTTCACCGCCATCGATAGAGAAACCTTGGCTCCATAGCTTAAGCACCACAACCGGCTTGTTTTCTGTTGCCTGGGCTGCTTGATTGGTACCCACTACTGTGTGATCACTATCTGTCATGCCCAACCGCATTCCCTGACCCCAAACATTGCCGCTGCCGACAGCCGAGGCGCTGGTGGAGGGTCCGACGCCCACTTCGGCTATGTTTTGCTCCTGTGCGGAGCGCATCATATCGGTCAACTGCTCACGAAAGTTCTTACGTTTGGCCGGTCCCAAAACTTGCTGCCCAGAGCGATCAGATCCTCCGGCATAGAATGCCTGGTGCTCGTCATCACTAGAAGGTTGCTTCGACATGTCGCTGAGCGTAGCAAATCTAACATGAACACAGAAGTAATGTCTGCATGAAGAAAACTAAAACTATCCTCTTACTTTGGTTTATTAGCTGCGGCCTTTGGCGGAGCAGTCGCAGAAGCAACTGATGCAGCTGGGACGCTTTTTGCTGCTGGGGCTGCAGCGGCAGCGACGTTGCCGCCAGCGCCGGCGCTAGCAGAGGTCGTAGTTGTTACCGGCGTCGATGTTGGATTGTTCGACTGACCCCCTACAGATGGAGTAGCTGGCAAATCAGTCTGTGTGCTCCAGTAGTTACCTAGAGCTTGCTGCACATTTACGTTTAAAAAGGACATAAATTCTGACAGTTCTTAGTTGAATAGTTTCTCTGCAAAGATTTACCTCAATGTCCCAGTCGCAGCTGGATAGATAGAAACGGGCAACGTTTTCATCAGTGCCAGTGATTTCAATGAATTGTGCAGTTAGATCGCCGCGAGCGGCCATTTTTTACAATGCTTTTACTTAGTTTTTGCGTCAAAAACAAAATAAATCTAAAAGTGTCTAGTGAACGATAATGATAGACAAAAATTCAGTGTGTCTCTAAAGCTTATAATTGACAAGAGTGTGACCCTATCGATTTAAGTCGAATATGCCAAAAAAAAAATACCAGACAGAGTTGCTTTTTATCGATACCTTTCAACTGTCATCGAAATTGGAGCTGCGGCAACTCTGTTCGGCGGGCATTTCAAATAAATATAAACACAGTATTAAGCTTCTCGTCTTAACATTTTGATTTTATTAAATAGCAACTAAATAACAATATAACTAATATAAAGCGGAATATCCATATAGCATAACATCACCCACCGGTTTTTCGTATAAGAGTACAAAAAGTACATGCTTTTACTTAGTTTGATTTTGTGTCCTGAAAGTATAGATTGATGCATACAAAAAGTAAATACAACAGTTTAAAGAATTTAAAAGCATTATGCCTGTTTTGTGAATATATCCAGAGGCATATTTCAATATACTTAAAATTCTAGTTAATTAGTAGAAGCAAGCCCAACGAGTTAGAATTAACACTACTCCAAATATCTTTCCAAAAAAATATATTCAAGGATTATTTAAATATATTTTATTTATATATATATATATATGTATATGTATATGTATATATATATATGTTAACTGTCCACTGGCTGATGAAGGTGCAACACGATTTTTAAGTCCGCCATCTGTTGGATATAGAAAAGTTCTAACGCAACACCTTGCCCTAGAATATTTGGGATATGATTTATGAATTGAAATTCGGAATTGTTGTTGTAGTGCAATGTTTGGATTGTGCGTGATGTACATACATGTAAAATGAAAGACATTAATAGGCGTACCAACGAATGACATAAACTTATTTAACATGTACCTTCCTTACCTGCAAATAGTAGTTGGTCAAAAAGGTGAGCCCAATGCCCAAACCAACTGCCAGGATGTGCGTCAAATGTAAATTGGGCAGAGGTCGACGTTTGCGCAAAAGGAATGAAAGCAACGAAGCTTTGCGATCCGAATAAGGCGGATAGCGAGCGCTGTAAAGGTCAAGATGAATTATATGTACATATATAGGAGCATAAAGTTATACTAACGATGCCATCTTTTCGCCTAGCAAGGCCAAGTTCTTGCCCAGGCAAGATTTCTTATGTGTGAACGTATCAAAGCCATATTTGCCATGGTAGCTGCCCATGCCGCTCATGCCGACGCCGCCAAAAGGCAGGGTATCAACTGTGGATAAAAGCGCGATATATAAGTAAACAGTAATTATGTGAGCATTAGAAATGTACGAGGGTGGTTTGAAAAATTTAAATTTAAATTTGAAATGAACTCACTGTTTTGAATAAGCATTAATTCATATCGATTATTAGCTTATAAATTTTTTAAACCAGCCTCGTAATTAGTGTTAGTTATATAAAGCATTATAGCTATAAGATATCTAGGTTTAATTACACACCAAACACCAATTGTTAATTTGAAATTCGCAGTTAGTAAATAAATTACTGAATTTTGTTTAAAATTTGTAAATTTACATAATATCTACAAAAACCAATTCAATAGGCCAAATATTTTACTTAACAATACACATTCAATAGCTTGTACTGTACTTAGGTGTTGTGTGTGTTGCAGGGTATTTGTGTCTCGGTTTTGTTTTGATCCAAACTATCTTTAATATCAAAAATAAAACAATTGAATTTTGCTGCAAAATGTGTTTGAATTTGAAAACAAAGTTCTTGAAAGTGCATCATACTACATTTTTGAAAAAAATAAAATCTACATCTACAATATATATACATAATACATATATACCTCCGACATGCATAATAGTTTCGTTGCTGCAGAATCCGCCGCTTGTCGTGTTCTTCTTGAACTCATTGATTAGCTTTTTTGAGTTTGAGAATACGTAGAGCACTAAAGGTTTCTCTCTATTCAAAAACAATGAAACAAAGCGCTACAGATATTTGCATAGGTATAGTAAAATAAACTCACGAAATTGAACAAACAAATACGGGAATTATTAATACATGATATTTGATGAATTACAAAATAAAATGACGAATATGTATTTGGAGTATAAGTTTGAAGTGGAAAGTAAAAAAAAAAGAACTTTAGTTTAAAACTATAAAAAGACTACATATTTATAGATGAGCCTTATTCGATGATCTATTTGATCAGCTTCGTACGATGCGGAGTCAGCAGAAGTGAAACGAACTGGTTCGTTTAAGCCTTCATTCAGGAGAGTGAACTTACAATAAGTAAAGTATCGATAACTGACTGGCAAATTACAAGTTAATCGTTAATAATTAAATGTTAACCTCTAAATGCCACCATTGCAATTCTTCAATAGAGATACAGATAATTAATAACTACGTTTGTATATAAATCTATTCAATAACAAATTCCTACAGTATTAGGGATTAAAAGGACCTAACCTTCAATATACAACTGGTGTTTAATATATAAACAAAATAAAAGTAAGTATATATAAAAGCCAATTTACAATTATAGAAAATACTTTTAATATAGCAATAAAAAAAATATATATATAAAAAAAATTTTAAAAAAAGGTGTGAAATAAAATTATATTTAAAATTTATATACAAATCATTTAAAAAAATAAAAACCGTCACCAGATCTTAACTCCTAACTATTTACAACTTGAACAAAAAATTATTAAATAAAAAAAAACTGAACAGGCATTAAAGGGAGCGACAGAAAGAAGGACGAGGGG